TGGATCACACCCTGTACTATTAAAGGAAATTTCAAAAGGCTATTAAAAAGCCATCTTTAAACAATTTTCACATTCATATAAGCAGGGCTCGATTTAGTACTAGCCCGGCGTACAATGTCTAGTAAAAACCACTCCGGGCTAGCCTATTTACTCCTCATGTTGCCCGGTTGTCTAGTGGAGAATTAGCAAGAAAAAAGCGGAACTTTCGAGCCAATCCCTGCACAGGAGGTACCGCAGCCTAAAGAGTACACTCTTGCTAGCTTTCAGCTCTCCACATGCGTGAGTGTTTAATTATTAAGATGATCATTCACCAACCACTACAGAATGGCATGTTATCTTTCTCTCAATAGAAGATCGTTTGATCGTTCAATCCGGTTAATTTAGGTATTTAGAACATTTAATTTAATGTACTACCTTATATTCATATTATTTTCTCATAATGATATTTTTAAAATGTTCAACTTTTAATAATAAGTACTTCAATGCTATAGGTAGGCTAGGCCCTAGGTCTTGCCTGGTAGCCTAGCCTAGGTAGCCTAAGCAAGACTTATTGCCATTGGGGGTGAGTGACTTGAGACCTAAAGATTTAACAGATGCATTGGTTTCATTGATTTCTGGGCCCTTTGTTAAATATTAGAAAGCCAAAGTTATAACCAGGGAGATGTAAAACATGCTCATCTGTCCCTGTTATAACCAGAGTCGATTTTGCAGCATGGTGATTTTTTTATTTATTTATTCAACAATATTTTGAGAGGGTAGCTCAAACAGCAAAGCTACAGAAATTATGAAATTGCAAATCAACCTTCAAATTTAATTGTCGCTAATAAATATTTTGAAACAAAATTTTTTCCTGTCTGTGGGCTAGTAAAATATTCTGTGGGCTAGTAAAATCTCTAGTAAACTAGCCCAGTGGGCTAGTTACCAAAAAAAGTAAGGTGTAAGGTATGTCACATCCATTTATCTTAATATATGTCTGCTATAGACATTTACTTGATACGTCTGTATGTACAGTATGGCTACATGCATTTTCATAGTACCTGTACTATGATTTTTAAACTTTTTTTCACAATGTTCACATAATTATGGTCTCTCTACTGTATTCTAAATGCTTTTTCAAAGTGTCTTTATTAACAAACTTCTTTCCTCAAAGTTCACATTTAAATGGTCTCTCTCTCTCGTGTGTATCCTTAAGTGACTTCTCAAAGCAGTACCAGAAATAAACTTCTTTTCACAATGTTCACACTCAAATGGCCTTTCTCCTGTGTGTATCCGTATATGGATTTTCAAATGACTACTATTACTAAACTTCTTTCCACAATGTTTACATTCATATGGTGTCTCTCCATTGTGTATAATTACATGTTCTTTCAAATTGCTACTTTGGGAAAATTTCTTCCCACAGTTTTCACATTCAAATGGTCTCTCTTTGTTGTGTATCCTTACATGTGATTTCAAATGGCAACTTAGTTTAAACTTTTTTCCACAATGTTCACATTCAAATGGTCTCTCTCCCGAGTGTATCCTTAAATGCCTTGTCAAATCGTTCCTTTGAATGTACTTCTTTCCACAATGTTCACATTCAAATGGTTTCTCACCTGTGTGTATCCTTACATGTTCTTTCAAATTTTTCCTTTGAATAAATTTCTTTTCACAATGTTCACATTCAAATGGCCTCTCTCCTGTGTGTATCCGTATATGTTTCTTCAAATCGCCACTACTAATACACTTCCTTCCACAATGTTTACATTCATAATTTAAGTCCATTGTGTATCCTTACATGTGCTTTCAAATTGCTACTTACGGTAAATTTCTTTCCACAGTATTCACATTCAAATGGTCTCTCTAATGTGTGTATCCTTAAATGCTTTGTCAAGTCGCTCCTTTGAATGTACTTCCGTCCACAATGTTCACATTCATATGGTTTTTCACCTGTGTGTCTCATTAAATGTTGTCTATAACAGCTTTTAATTCTAAATTTCTTTCCACAATGTTCACATTCATACGGTCTTTCTCCTGTGTGTATACTTGAATGTGCTTTCAAAGTACTACTTCGGGTAAATTTCTTTCCACAATGATCACATTCATACGGTCTTTCTCCTGTATGTATATTTGAATGTGCTTTCAAAGTGCTACTTTGGGTAAACTTCATTCCACAAGGTTCGCATTCAAATGGCTTCTCTCCAGTATGTGTCCTTAAGTGTGTTTTAAAATTGTTCCGGTGTGTAAATTTCTTTCCACACTGTTCACATTCATATGCTACTTCTCTTTTATGTTTCTTTAATTGTATCTTCAAACTCTTGTCTTGATTGTTCTTCATTCCACAACGATAACATTCATAAGATGCCTCTCCTTTAAGTTTCCATAAATGTGTGTTCCTACATTTATTTGGCATATTTTTGGTTTGTATTTTCAAATGTTTTTCTGGTTTACTTCTGTGATCAAATTCCTTTGCAAAACATGGGCATTGAGAGTTTGCTTCCTCTATTTTTATTCCTAAATGGGTTTCTCTAAAATGTTCACATATATTTTCCAGAGGTTCATTGTTTTTTTTCAAATGTTCCTTTAAACTGTCAAACTTGTATTGTTTTTCATTGAACACACTTCTGCAGTCATCCTCGTATTTCATACATTTATCATTATTTTCAATTTCCATTTGTGACCTCACAGGATTTAACATTGATGGAATTGTTGGAAAACTATTTAAAAAACTTTCTTCATGGTTATCAAAAACACAGCACTGGCCTAGAAGATACAGAAAAAGAACAATTTTGCTTTGGAATTATTATTATTATTATTATTATAGAATCATTTCAAGAAAATAAAATGAATAAACAAGGGACAATGAAATGAATAGACCAATCAACAACATAACATTGCAGAAATGTTAATTTCAACATTAATTAGTCCAAAATTATGTTATGAATACATATTTACAACCAAAAAACTGTTTTTTTCATTGCACTTTATAAAATTACCTTGCACAAAAACAAAAGCACTTTGCTAAGGTTACAAAAACATGCTTCTAGAATATTTTAAAATAATTTAATTTTACAAATTATCGTTGGATTGATCTTTTTACAGAAAATAATTAGAAATTTCTTAATGACCCATAGAGGTTACGCCTAGAAATTGTACAGTATAACGGAAATGACATTGCACCGCTTGTGTATAACAATATTTATATGGTTTTTGAATGGCATAGATATTCGAAGAGTTACCTGTACGCTCACTCACTTAACATTATCCCCAATCTCAAACTGCTCTGTAATAAATGGTTCTTCAAAAATCGCTGGAGCAAATATTTGGAATAAAATCCCAATCAGAATTCAACAATATCAGTCTCTTAATATTCAAAATTAATTATAAAAAACAATTTCTTTGATTACTGTATCACTTATACAGTAACATTTCTAAATTTGTTCCATTATCTTTGATATTTTCCTGGACTTTATATTGATTGTTAAAATTCCAGACCTGAAACACTGACTCAGAAATACCAGGGTTATTGAATGTTGAAATTCCAGACCTGAAACCTTGACTCAGAAATACCAAGGTGGTGCCTGACTTGATATGCAAATAAGGTTGTTCGAACCGCAAACATGCAACTTCCATACACAAGACAAGCGGATATTTTCCTGGCGGTATTGGACGTATAATATTAAAAGAATTATTTAAACTTTTTACTTTGCCAATTTCTTTGAAAGGTAAGATACATAAGCACATATATTGCAGTTTAAATGCTTTAAATTTATGGTATGCGTACATAAGGCTACAATAGGCTAGTAATTCGGCAACGCCTACGCTCAGCCGTCCAGGGCTAGGCCTAACCGGGTCTCGACATTTGGTAAATTGCCTGAATTGAAGAAACACTAAATCCATAGTACAGTTTACACACATTTATAAGCTCATACCATATATATTCTGAAATCATTTACCACAACAGAAAAGGTATTTTTTTGTGCACCTAGTAAGTCATGTTCAGAATCAGAGAATGTGTACATACAGTCCAATTGACATATTTTCATATTAATTACTGTACTGCTTTTTGAGCAATTGGAAACATCAGCTATTAAAACACTTTTCTCTAATATTCATGAACCATTAGTCAGTGATAGTAATATACCGAAAGATGAGCTAAACCTGTTTGTACCTATATTAAATATCTTTATGGATTACATGATTATAAATATGAAATACTGCCTTAAATTATGCCCTAATTTAGGCCAACAGTGTGGCCTAGCCATATACACTGTATAGGCATAGAGCTGTTTCGGCTGAGAACAAGTTCGGCTACGATGTCAGGGACGCCTATTGGGTAGTTGTTTTCATTTACATGGCTCAGTGATTATGAACTGAGCATGAGCAGTAAGCATTTGCTTCGCTGCAACAGTGTTTGATTGAATGGATTTGCATATCAAAAGCATGCAACACACAACGAATCGCCAGGATAGAAGAACAAAGGAAATCTCGGGTTGTTTCCAATCTCCTTCTATAGTTTTGTCTCAGACTGTACTTTAAAGGACCACTGTACAGTATTACCATCTGTCTGTATATAATTATCCTGTCTAACTATGTTTTAATAAATAAACATCCTAACTTTTCCAAAGGGAGAGGTGAAGTGTATTGCAATCGCGCATCTGTGTGTGTGTGTGTGTGTGTCCTTCTGGGTGCATGACTAAAAAACTACTGCACCGATCTACATTACTTCAAATTTTCACACATTGACAATGTATTTAGTCTAGCCCAGGCCGTCTGTTTAACAATACATAACACTGATATGACGTTCCATCGAATCATGTCCTCTGTCTCCGTATTTGGAGTTGCATTCATTTTAATGTGATTGAGAATTATAATGCACGATTTTGACAACATACAGGACTCGAACCCAAGACCACCTGCTTTCCATTCAGCTTAACGCTAAAAACGCTGGGCAAATCTGATTAGAAGCATGATTTTCACTCTTTTTATAGCACAGTGCCAAACATCAACATTGTATGTACACTACATACAAAAATATGAAAAAAATTTATAAAACTAAAAGAAATCTAAAACAAAAAACATTTCCTATTGTCTTTTGTTAATGTTGAATATAGAACTAACCTGGTTCGACTTTAATTTCAGGTTTCACTGCATTATGCAAATTCTCTTCTTGTTCTGACATACTGTATTGTGCTGCAAATATGTTCACACATTAAATCCTGTAAATTCTGAAGCAAAAAAATAATGGATTTTGACATTTTTTGGATCCGTTTGGTCGCAATATAACACATTGAGATTCGGGAAATATATGTTTTGTTTCCATTTAATTTATTACTGTAATTCCATACTCCAAGCCAAAACTACCAGGACATCCCTGACAACAGGGCCAACATGTTATTTCAATCCCTTACTGACCAGTGGTATCTAAGGAGTATGCCCCAGCTGCCCGCCAACTCAAAATTGTGAGAAAAATAATACACATATAATAATAACGATAATAATAATAATGGTAAGTTGAAAAAATAATACACATATAATAATAATAACGATAATAATAATAAAACCGAAAGGTCCACTGATTAATCTCAGATAAGATAGTGTAATACATACTCCTACTATCGAAATGCACGTCATCATGTTGGGATTCACTATTTCGGGATTAAGTATGTCTCATCAGGATAATAATAATAACATTAATAATAATAATGCTAATAATAACAATAATAAACAACAACAACAGCACCAGCAACAGCAACAGCAACAATAATAATAATGCATATTTGCATAGTGCCAGTATCCATTAAACCAGGGAATTTCACTGTTCCCTGATTAAAAACAAGATGCTCATGGCGCTTGATATGTGGACTAGGACACCAGATGTTACACTTTTCAATAACTTTCTTTCTTTTTTTTCTGCGAAGTGAGTCTTATGAACGACAATACACCACAATATCGGTAAAATTAATGTTGAAATGAAGAATATAATTTCAGTCTAATGTTTAAAGTGCAAAATATCATTAGGCCTTTGTAATCACCGCACGACGCGCGATTATCATGGCAACTAACATGCGCGTAGGTAATTCGTCACGTACGCTGACGGTTTATGGTCTGGTTGCTATGGTTTTTGTGACGTTTAGCGTGTAGGGATGCATGTGCGCCTAAAATGTCGATGTCAGAGTTATAACCTTATGTTAGTTATGTCCCGAGATGTGTGTCCTTCTGTTGAATTGCCTTGGCTTGACCATGATGTATTATTGAGAAGGAGATCACTCGAAAAAGCTACGCGCACGCAGAGCTATGCAAATGAACCAAGAACAAAGCTGCCTCAGCGCGTGAAGAACGTTTGTGCGATGCTTTGAAGTCTAATGTGTTCCCCGCCACCAAATGCTCAGCATTTGACCACAGCGAAATGGAGAGCACGTTCTTTTCTCAATGCGCACTACTTACAGTCAATCACTATGGCTGTGCAAATCGTTTCCATCTTGAAGCTAATACATTGATTTTTCAAAAAATACCAAACATAATAATATTTTCAAAAAAAAAAAAGAGTTTCGAATTTAATAAAACATTTACATTAGCTTTAAATGTATGGTATATTGCAACTTGAATTTCCATAAATTGGATAAAACCCAAAATTCCAATTTTAACAGATATTAATTAAGGAATAATGGAGGATTATAATAAACTAAGTCATTTTAGGGTTAACGAGGGTTAACTATTCAAACATTCAATCCAGAATCAGAGTAATTTTCAGTTTTACGCTGCCTTAGCTTTATAGTCAAACAAATCGATCTTTAGACAAAATTATACACATAATTACATACTTAAAGTCCGAAAAAATCCAATAAGGGGAACATTGTTTATTATAAAGATATTTAATGGGTTAAAATCAAACACTTTATCGCACAACTGCTGTGCTAGAGCGTGTAAACGCATGTCGTTGCCAAGTTGTGAATTATAGGGTAATACGCCCGCGTGCGATCCAAAGACGGGGAACACATTGTCGCGTCAAAGGGATCTGTTGCCGAGTGATCTCCTTCTCAATAATACCTCCATGCTATTGGTATAC